CCCAATCCTCTCACAGTGGGAGCTAAGGTGTCACGACGCGTGGCGTCTTGTGCAGCACAGCAAGCAAAGTCACTGAGGAATGGTATTGCAGACGCTTCGAAGTGTGGAGAAACGACAACTGGCAGTGATGTGGAGTGGCCAAATACAGGTGTGGGCAGTGCATCCTCAGTGGCCTTGCAACCCCTCGGGTCTGACCAAAGCACCGTGCGGTTGGGAGGAGTGAAGGTAAGGCCGTGTGGTAGGAAGTCGTGTGGATCACTGCTGAGGAGTGGTGTTGCGACCTCGTGGCGCAGACACAGTGCTTCTGTCAGTGGACTGTCAGCGAGTGCGCTGAGGGCGGCTACCAGCATGGAGCAATCGTCGGGAGGATCGCAGGCTGGGAGTGCACATTCAACAGTGCAAGAGAATGCGTGTAGAGAAGGTGCCAGTGGAGGCACAGAGGTCTCCCTCTCCAACTCCGAATTCGTGGGTGTGGAAGGAGGGGGTGGTGACGACGGTGGTGCTAATGTAGTTGCAGGCGATGCCATGATGTGTCCGATGTGCGCCTTCTCTAGCTGTGACAGGGAGGCGATAATGCAGCATGTGATAGACGCCCACTAAATCTTGTTGTTGCCTGCCTGATGATTGACTTTCCCCTCTCATACCTTCCGTGTGTTTGTGTATATGTGTGTATATATGTGTACAAGAATTAGTGAGGCGTCAATTGAGTTGTTTTTTTGGCAAGAAAAGACTGGGAGTCTTGTGTAGAGAAGACTGGTAGTCGAAGTGGTGCACCCAGTTGTAGTGCTGTAACGAGGGCGAGTCGCTGCCTCCGTGGGTGAACGTAATTGGGACTTTGAGTGGGTCACGTTGCAGTGACTAGACAGGAAGGGTAATGTTGGACGTTGAGAGGTGGAGGGAAGCTAAACCTTGTGCCACTTTATCTGTTGATGCGACGGGTATTGGGTTTGAGTGTGCAACCGAATAATTGGTTGTGGAGAGGTAAATTTACTAGATCGGCAGGTATTGTTGATTAGGAGGTTTGTTTTGCGTAAGCACTTTCCCACTCCTGCAAGCATTGGGCAAGGTGAGTTTCTACACATTGAAACCGGCTCAACCTCGCACAGGCGAAGGTGGGCGGTTTATGATGCGGGAGCTTATTGGTGGAGATTGAGACCTCAACTATTCCAGCACGTACTCACGATCATGGACTTGGTGTTGATGAGTGGAAGTTGCGCAGATGTGTGAGAGCACAGAGTAGCAAGTGGTCACTTTGTAAGCGGCAGCGTTGAACGAGTCTCATGTGTCACCGCATGAATAAACGGCTATGGGAACCTCGAGTTGAGTAACGAACGTGTCGATGCGACCACTTTTCATTATCTAAAATGATGCATGGCTTAGGTGGGCTAAATGCTGAAATCAATGTTTGGTGCATCGGTCAGTTGATTACTCTTGGAGTTGTTTGAAACGCACCTTGTCGGCACGAGGTTGGCGCCCTCTTGTTTGCTGTTTTGGAAATCAAGGCACAGTCCGAAGGAGCCAATGTGGTGGTGTCTGCTTCACGAACATGGTAAAGGGCGTTGCTCAAATGCCATTACCCATGTGAGCAGAATTAACTTTTCCTTCCCACTCATGTGATGTGATGTGATGTAGTGCCACATCGACAATGAACTCCACACCGCGTTTCACTCACCTCCTCTTGGATTTGCATTGGTTAGGACAACTGCTTCAATCTTGCCTTCATAAACACATGCCTCGTGTAAGCATTTTATTTGATCGTTGTTGTGCGACCTTTCGAGTATGATGACTCCACTCACCAGATCTGAGAGAACGAGATTGACGTTCAACGATTCGCCTTCTTGTGGCAAAAGGCGAACTTTTTGGAGGAAGATGAGCGTTACCGTTGGCGAGTGTTGCTTGAGCGCAGCCTCTTTCTAATCCCATGTAAGTGTTTCTCAAGGAGGTGCAGACGTGACTAACAACAATTTCTCTCTCGTTAGTAGAAGTGGGGTTACCACGTGGATACACTGTTAAGTCTTGTGTGTTACGATGTTCCGCTCCTACCGATTCACACAACTGTCTTGACATTTGTGCTCCAATTGTCAATTGGTTAGCGTTTGCGGTTCCCCTCTGCACCTTGAATTGCACAATTCTCACCCTCCCATGGATGTAACGTCAAGTAGCGACACAGCTATACAATAGAGCATTAAACATGCTCGTCCACACACTGAAGAAATGGGACAAGGGAGGAGGGGAGGGTGTTACACTAGTGTGTGTACTTGACACAAAAACGTTCTACCACTTGCTCCTTTTGTAATTCCCATGCTTGTTCCATTGCGTCATATTGACGGCGTCGATGCCTCGGAGTATGCAGTAATCCACACACACACACACACACACACACACAC